ACGGCCTGGGCTGGGCCCAACCTGCCAGCATCAGCAGCGGGACCGACCTTGTGCAGCGTGGTGCTTGGCTACCCTCAACGGGACCGACCTTGTGCAGCGTGGTGCTTGGCTACCCTCAACGGGACCGACCTTGTGCAGCGTGGTGCTTGGCTACCCTCAACGGGACCGACCTTGTGCAGCGTGGTGCTTGGCTACCCTCAACGGGACTGACCTTGTGCAGCGTGGTGCTTGGCTACCCTCAACGGGACCGACCTTGTGCAGCGTGGTGCTTGGCTACCCTCAACGGGACCGACCTTGTGCAGCGTGGTGCTTGGCTACCCTCAACGGGACCGACCTTGTGCAGCGTGGTGCTTGGCTACCCTCAACGGGACTGACCTTGTGCAGCGTGGTGCTTGGCTACCCTCAACGGGACTGACCTTGTGCAGCGTGGTGCTTGGCTACCCTCAACGGGACCGACCTTGTGCAGCGTGGTGCTTGGCTACCCTCAACGGGACCGACCTTGTGCAGCGTGGTGCTTGGCTACCCTCAACGGGACCGACCTTGTGCAGCGTGGTGCTTGGCTACCCTCAACGGGACCGACCTTGTGCAGCGTGGTGCTTGGCTACCCTCAACGGGACTGACCTTGTGCAGCGTGGTGCTTGGCTACCCTCAACGGGACTGACCTTGTGCAGCGTGGTGCTTGGCTACCCTCAACGGGACCGACCTTGTGCAGCGTGGTGCTTGGCTACCCTCAACGGGACCGACCTTGTGCAGCGTGGTGCTTGGCTACCCTCAACGGGACCGACCTTGTGCAGCGTGGTGCTTGGCTACCCTCAACGGGACCGACCTTGTGCAGCGTGGTGCTTGGCTACCCTCAACGGGACCGACCTTGTGCAGCGTGGTGCTTGGCTACCCTCAACGGGACCGACCTTGTGCAGCGTGGTGCTTGGCTACCCTCAACGGGACCGACCTTGTGCAGCGTGGTGCTTGGCTACCCTCAACGGGACCGACCTTTGTGCAGCGTGGTGCTTGGCTACCCTCAACGGGACCGACCTTGTGCAGCGTGGTGCTTGGCTACCCTCAACGGGACTGACCTTGTGCAGCGTGGTGCTTGGCTACCCTCAACGGGACCGACCTTGTGCAGCGTGGTGCTTGGCTACCCTCAACGGGACCGACCTTGTGCAGCGTGGTGCTTGGCTACCCTCAACGGGACCGACCTTGTGCAGCGTGGTGCTTGGCTACCCTCAACGGGACCGACCTTGTGCAGCGTGGTGCTTGGCTACCCTCAACGGGACCGACCTTGTGCAGCGTGGTGCTTGGCTACCCTCAACGGGACCGACCTTGTGCAGCGTGGTGCTTGGCTACCCTCAACGGGACCGACCTTGTGCAGCGTGGTGCTTGGCTACCCTCAACGGGACCGACCTTGTGCAGCGTGGTGCTTGGCTACCCTCAACGGGACCGACCTTGTGCAGCGTGGTGCTTGGCTACCCTCAACGGGACCGACCTTGTGCAGCGTGGTGCTTGGCTACCCTCAACGGGACCGACCTTGTGCAGCGTGGTGCTTGGCTACCCTCAACGGGACCGACCTTGTGCAGCGTGGTGCTTGGAGAGAATTGCTCCAGTGCCTTGTTTGGTGATTCGCTCTTGCCCACGTGTCCCCGAATTGCTCGAGTGGCCATCCAATTCAGTGATAATTGCTCGAGTGGCCATGCCAGGGCATTTTCGATGTGTTTTTTTTCCCTGGCACATAACCCTACAAGGGTTCGTACCCACGAAATTCCTCGTTCGCACAACAGTAGATGCGCGGTCATTTTCGGCCTAATGCGCGACCAATGAGCGCGCGGGCAATTACATCAGCGATCATAAACTGCAACGCCAGAGCATAAATGCACGGACATATTATTGACCGCGCACGATTGGTCGATAATATGCTTCTTGCCCTTTTTGGCAATGCGCGTCCAATCACGCACGGTCATATAATTCACGACCATATATTTAGGCGATAAAGCTTCGCCCAACAACCAATATGAGCGCGCATATACTACCATTAGTTCTATCATATGTCCGGTCCATATAAAACCATGCATATCAAATGCCATAAATATATTCTCTGCTATTAATTTAAGCCCGTCGTACTAGAAATAATATTGTATCGTGGCCTATCATAATATTAAGCCCATCATACCGTGGTCCATAATATTGTATTGCCGGTAATATGGTTGCAGAAATAATATGTTCGGCAGCATAATATTAATTTAAGCCCAGCATACTATGCTGCCACCACGGTTATGATGGGATTAAATTAATGGCAGAGAATATATTTATGGCATTTGATATACATGATTTTATATGGACCGAAAATATAATAGAACTAATGGTAGTATATGCGCGCTCATATTGGTTGTTGGGCGACCCTTTTATCGCCTAAATATATGGTCGTGAATTATATGACCGTGCGTGATTGGATGCGCATTGCCAAAAAGAGCAAGAAGCATATTATCGACCAATCGTGCGCGGTCAATAATATGTTCGTGCATTTATGCTCTGGCGTTGCAGTTTATGATCGCTGATGTAATTGCCCGCGCGCTCATTGGTCGCGCATTGGGCCGAAAATGACCGCGCATCTACTGTTGTGTGAACGAGGAATTTCGGGGGTATGAACCCTTGTAGGGTTATGTGCCAGGGAAAAAAAACACCTCGAAAATGCCCTGGCATGGCCACTCGAGCAATTATCACGGAATTGGATGGCCACTCGAGCAATTCGGGGACACGTGGGCAAGAGCGAATCACCAAACAAGGCACTGGAGCAATTCTCTCGTGGTGCTTGGCTACCCTCAACGGGACCGACCTTGTGCAGCGTGGTGCTTGGCTACCCTCAACGGGACCGACCTTGTGCAGCGTGGTGCTTGGCTACCCTCAACGGGACTGACCTTGTGCAGCGTGGTGCTTGGCTACCCTCAACGGGACCGACCTTGTGCAGCGTGGTGCTTGGCTACCCTCAACGGGACCGACCTTGTGCAGCGTGGTGCTTGGCTACCCTCAACGGGACCGACCTTGTGCAGCGTGGTGCTTGGCTACCCTCAACGGGACCGACCTTGTGCAGCGTGGTGCTTGGCTACCCTCAACGGGACCGACCTTGTGCAGCGTGGTGCTTGGCTACCCTCAACGGGACCGACCTTGTGCAGCGTGGTGCTTGGCTACCCTCAACGGGACCGACCTTGTGCAGCGTGGTGCTTGGCTACCCTCAACGGGACCGACCTTGTGCAGGCGTGGTGCTTGGCTACCCTCAACGGGACCGACCTTGTGCAGCGTGGTGCTTGGCTACCCTCAACGGGACCGACCTTGTGCAGCGTGGTGCTTGGCTACCCTCAACGGGACCGACCTTGTGCAGCGTGGTGCTTGGCTACCCTCAACGGGACCGACCTTGTGCAGCGTGGTGCTTGGCTACCCTCAACGGGACCGACCTTGTGCAGCGTGGTGCTTGGCTACCCTCAACGGGACCGACCTTGTGCAGCGTGGTGCTTGGCTACCCTCAACGGGACCGACCTTGTGCAGCGTGGTGCTTGGCTACCCTCAACGGGACCGACCTTGTGCAGCGTGGTGCTTGGCTACCCTCAACGGGACCGACCTTGTGCAGCGTGGTGCTTGGCTACCCTCAACGGGACCGACCTTGTGCAGCGTGGTGCTTGGCTACCCTCAACGGGACCGACCTTGTGCAGCGTGGTGCTTGGCTACCCTCAACGAGACCGACCTTGTGCAGCGTGGTGCTTGGCTACCCTCAACGGGACCGACCTTGTGCAGCGTGGTGCTTGGCTACCCTCAACGGGACCGACCTTGTGCAGCGTGGTGCTTGGCTACCCTCAACGGGACCGACCTTGTGCAGCGTGGTGCTTGGCTACCCTCAACGGGACCGACCTTGTGCAGCGTGGTGCTTGGCTACCCTCAACGGGACCGACCTTGTGCAGCGTGGTGCTTGGCTACCCTCAACGGGACCGACCTTGTGCAGCGTGGTGCTTGGCTACCCTCAACGGGACCGACCTTGTGCAGCGTGGTGCTTGGCTACCCTCAACGGGACCGACCTTGTGCAGCGTGGTGCTTGGCTACCCTCAACGGGACCGACCTTGTGCAGCGTGGTGCTTGGCTACCCTCAACGGGACCGACCTTGTGCAGCGTGGTGCTTGGCTACCCTCAACGGGACCGACCTTGTGCAGCGTGGTGCTTGGCTACCCTCAACGGGACCGACCTTCGTTTTTCGCTTTCAATTCCACATTTCGTTTCCTTGTGTTTGTTTTGCTTTCTTTTTCATTCCGCAGTTCTGTTTACTGACTTCGTGCATCTGTCTGTGTGTTCCCTCCCCTTGTTTTTCAGCAACCATGGGTTCTTCACTCGGGGGGAGCAGAGGAGCCTGCAGAGGACGGCAGCAGCGACTCGGGAGGACGGCAGCAGTGAGAAGGAGAAGCGAGGGGTGGGATGACACACGGCCGGCAGCCACACGGCTGCCTCCTACCCGCCCTGCTGACCACCCGCTCTGCTCGAGGCGGGCACTTCGGGCAACGAAGCGCGGAGGCAAGGAGGCGGCACTTCAGCAGAGGTGTAGGGCGGTGTGGTATGGTATGGTGCGGTATGAGGAGGAGGCGGACACTTCGGGCAACGAGCCGGCGCGGAGGCAAGGAGGCGGCACTTCAGCAGAGGTGTAGTGCGGTGTGGCACTTGAGGTGAGGAGGCAAGGAGAGGCGGCACTTCACTCAAGATGGCTTCTTCACTCAACATGGCTTCTTCACTCAACATGGCTTCTTCACTCAAGATCGGAGGCGCCTGCAGAGGAGCAGGTGTAGTGCTGTGTGGTCTGGTATGGTGTGGTCTGGTATGGTGTGGTTTTGTGTGGTGTGGTGGAGCGAGGAGGACGGGCAAGCGTGGTGGGATGACGCACTGCCGGAAGCCACTGGCGTGTGGCTGCCTCCTACTCGCCCTGCTGACCACCCGCTCAAGGCAAGGAGGACACTTGGGACAAGGAGGTAAGCATGCGACTCTTGGGGCTCGAGGCAAGGAGGACACTTGGGGAAAGGACGAGAGGCAACCAGGCGGTACTTCAGGTGAGGGGACGAGGTGGCAAGGAGGCGGCACTTCAGGCGAGGAGGCGGCACTTCAGGCGAGGAGGCGGCACTTCAGGCGAGGAGGCGGCACGTACGGCAAGGGGAGAGGCGGAGGAACGTGAGGGAGTGGTTGATGGGTTGGACGAGGGGATGCATGACTGGGATGCGGTGGGAATGAAAAGCGGAGAGTAGCGGTGGGAAACGTGTTGAGGCTGAGAGGGTGGGGCCACCTCTCGTAAGTCCTCCTCACGGCTGGCCCCGTCCATCGCTGCTCCACGTCCTCATTCTTCAGCACTGCCCTCCACGCACCTCCTCTTCCCGCCTCTGACGCCCAACCTGACCTGCACTCCGTCCTCATTCCCTTCCCACCATCGACACTGTAAGTCTCTGGTTTTGGTGTGGAGTGGTGTGGAGTGGTGTGGTGGGGTGTGGTGTGGCAGCAAGGAGGGGGGAGCGGCAGCATGGAGAGGAGTCAACGCCGTCACCGACACTGTAAGTCTCTGCTTTGGTTTCCAGTTTTCTGCATTTTTTTTTTTTTTACGTGCTAATGTCCCCTTGTGTTTCTGGTTTTGTTTAGCCAGGAGCAGAGCGGAGCGGGGCGGAGCGGAGCAGCAGAGGAGAGGAGCTTCTCGGCAACGCTCGGCCAGGTGAGCTGCGGTGGGGTGAGATGTGATGAGTTGTAAGTGAGTTGGGATGGCTCGATTCCCACGTTCCCATCCCACTTGCTCTCTTCCGGCCGGCACCTGGTTTTCTCAATTGCTCCTCTTTCTCCCTTTGTTTGTCTTCCTCCTCACTGTCTTGGCCATGCTGGCAGGTGGGCAGCTCGGCGGACGGCGCGGCAGAAGACCCCCCCCTTCCCTCCCCTCCCCCCCCCCCCCCCCCCCTCCCCTCCCCTCCCCTCCCCTCCCTTGCTTTTCTTCGCTGTTTCCTTGTTTGTTGCTTGTTTCTTCGCTGTTTCCTTGTTTGTTGCTTTTTTTTCTTCTATGTTTCTTTGTTTGTTTCCTTGTTTGTTGCCCCCTCCCCTCCCCCCCCCCTCCCCTCCCCTCCCCTCCCCTCCCCTCCCCTCCCCTCCCCTCCCCTCCCCTCCCCTCCCCTCCCCTCCCCTCCCCTCCCCTCCCCTCCCCTCCCCTCAGGTTCATATGCACAACATGCATGGGGAGTCGAAGACCCCCCCCCCTTTCCTACCCTGGCTGTGCAGGTTGATTTGCTCAACATGCGTGGGGAGCACTGAAGACCCCCAACTGTGGCATCAGGTGGTGTGCGGCAGGGGCTGCTGACGGCGTTAGGGCTGGCCTCCTAATGCCTGAAGCGCCCCTGTGTGTGGGTGACTTTTGCTCTAAAGAAACCGCTGCCTCGTAATGTCTCCCACCACAAAGTGGTGCTCCTTGGGTCTGACAGCGTTAGGGCTGGCCTCCTCACGCCTGAAGCGCCCCTGTGTGTGGGTGCTCTGATGATGGATGGGGGGACGCCTCCTGAAGTCGGATGAGCCTCACCCCGCCTCCACCTGGGCCGGGCTCTGCCTGGTTTGAGCGAGGCTTGAGAGACGTCTCATGTCCTCCTCGTGCCACTGCGGGGTTGCGGAGTGGAGGTGGACTGCACGGCACGCCAGCAACGGTCGTGGTGGTGGTGGGTGTTGTAAGTATCTGCTTTCCATGCTTTCCTTGCTTGTTGCTTGTTTTTCTTCGCTGTTTCCTTGTTTGTTGCTTGTTTCTTCGCTGTTTCCTTGTTGTTTCCTTGGTTGTTTCCTTGGTTGTTTCCTTGCTTGTTGCTGTGCTTGCTTGCTTGCTTGCTTGCTGTTTGCTACTAACCCCCCGTGGCTCCCATGCAGGTCCCACACGAAGGGTCCCCACCTCAACGTGGTGTGTGGGTGTAACACTAGGGTTTAACCCCCCTAGTGGCCAAGAGGGGCCCAGAAGACCCAAGAGAAGACAATGGCGTGCTTTATTAACGCCATAATGATTGTAGATCTATATAATTGCCTGAATAATGATAGATCTGCTTAGGTAATGGATCAAACAAAATCTCAGCATGGACATTTGAATTGAAACTAGGTAGTTGAACATGCACAAGAGTAGCATACTAGGTCTCAGCGCATAGACGAAGAGGTTTTTTCATGTATGCACAAGGACATACAATACAGACATTCAGTCAGTCTATTTTTTCATGCAAATACGGTAGAGCAATAACAGCTACAGAGGCAAAAATCCATGTCATGGGACATTACTACTTGTGATGCTACTTCTGGCAAAGCTGTGTGCTGCTGAGGCATCACCGAAAGTGACTCATGTGAAGTCCCTACCTACCTACCAACACAGTAACAGCATGCTGAAGTGTGAAGGATTCCTTTCTGTTGTGTGCTGTGCCTCTGCTCTTCTCAGGCTGAGTGAATCAGCATCCACCATGACTGTAATGTAAGGAATCAACAAAGGGAGCAATGACCCAGGTGCTAACACAACCAGCGTCGATGCTCCACTCAACCAGGGTTTGGTTCATATTTCAGCCCAGTAAGATCGTAGCCATGTACATTGAACCGGTAAGGAACACAAGATGGAAGACACCGTAACCGTAGGGCACGTCTCCGTTATTGGCGGTTTCTTCGTCTTTAGGCCGGAGCGAGAAGCAACGGGAGTCGATTCCTGCGGCATAGACTGAAATGGGGATGCTTATGAGTGCCACTATAAATGCCTGAGTGTTGTGAAGACGGGGGGAGGGGAAAAAAAAGGACAAATAGGTAGGTACACGATTCGAGTAGCAACAGGAGTCAATTCCCATGGCGTGGACTGAGAAGCTGATGCTGATGAGCGCGACAATGAATGCCTGAGTGGCACAGATGGGCGGGATGGGAGAATGAATGACACGTATCAGAGAAATATAGATTCGACCTAGATCCAGATGTCTGAGCCGGCTAAGATCCCTAAACCAAGTTGGGATGTTCTCATCTCACCAGAATATCAAGCCACCCGCTGTCTCCGGTCTGGCGAGGTCGAGTGTTGCATGCCTCAGCGGGCGGCTCACTCATGATTGCCGACCAGCAGAGGAAGACAAAATACACCGCCATGACACCAGAGGTGAGCAGCCCTGCGTCCACCTGCAGACACACACAGAGAGATGCAGATGCATGCAAGTGTGATAGGAGGTTACCAGGTGACTTACAGTCAAAATTCTTACAGCTATTTTGCATCACGTGATTGACCTAGGTATGCAGCATCGGGCTATGTAGCACGAGGCAAGAACACTCTGGGTTGAACAGAGATGGCGAGAACCGTACGATGAGAAGGTGAGCCACGGACTTATTAGGAGTGCTCACCTTGGGACGGGCGGCTCACCTTGGGATGCATACATGTGTACATGAACATACACATGTTATGCATGCATGTAGTCTTCTATGCATATCTGCACATCTACATGACAATTGATGAGCGAAAACTCAGCAGCAACTGATGGCCGGAAACTCAGCGAAGGTGCTCACGTTTGTGTGCGCACATGCTACCCGCACACGCTACCATTGAATGTGCTCACGTGTGTGTGCGCACATGCTACCATTGAATATGCTCACTTGTGTGTGCGCACATGCTACCATTGAATGTGCTCACGTGTGTGTGCGCACATGCTACCATTGAAGGTGCTCACGTGTGTGTGCGCACATGCTACCATTGAAGGTGCTCACGTGTGTGTGCGCACATGCTACCATTGAAGGTGCTCACGTGTGTGTGCGCACATGCTACCATTGAAGGTGCTCACATGCTACCATCGAAGATTCTCACATGCTACCATTGAAGGTAAGGTGCTCACATTTTCTCATTCTGGAGCTAATGCTCGTTCCACACATAGATGAAGCTGCTGATGCTCACTAGCTGAATCATCAGGCTCCTGCTATCGCCACCTCAAATGATAGTACAGCATGTGTGCCAGCAAGTGCTAGCAATGAAGGTAAGGTGCTCACATATTCTCATTGTTGAGCCGAGCGTTGTTCCACACGTAGATGAAGTTGATAATGCTCACGAGCTGAATCACCAGGAACACTGCTGCTCCCGCTATCGCCACCTCGCCATACACCTGAAACACCTCTGGTCAGGTGACGGGTCAGGTGAAAACCACATAAGGACCGACTGTGAAGCGTCAGTGGAACGGAGTGAGGGATGAAGCAGTGCACATGAACAAACGAATCCAGTCCGTAACAGGACAGCTGCAAGAAGAACACAGAAGCCGGACAAGCGCAGAAGCAGGAGGAAGCACACAACAGACATACGGTATGGAGGAGAAACGAGCACACATACGGTAAGGGAGGAGGAAGGGAAGGAAGAGCAGCAGCAGCCAGAGGATGAGCTTAGGAGGCCACCAGCCCGAGTGCCCGAGCCAGAGGTCATGACAGCTGTGGCAGCCGCCCTCGAGCTTGGCGGCGGTGGTGGTGGCGAGGCGAGCATGAGCGCGAAGAAGAGGCACTGCAGCACTGCCGGCTGTGGTGGCCGAAGCTCACCCGCAGCACTGCCAGCGCTCCCACACACCCGGGGTTGTTCGGTTCGCATTATTGGAAGCCTGGTAGGGAGGGAGAATAGAAAGCAGGAGTGCGGGACGCAGGAGGGTGGGTGGGACGCAGGAGAGTGGGAAGCAGAAGCAGAGAGAAAGGATGACCATGCTTCGTGTGGTGTGAACAGGCCGAGTGTAAAGTGCGTCACTCGCAGCATTGCCAGGGCTCCCGCACAGCCAGGGTTGAAAGGTAAGGGAAGGGACAAAGGAGGGAAGGAGGGTACGAAGCTGAGGACAGCACTAGCCGCGGTTTCTGCAATGCATTGATACAGGAACAAAGGGTACACACACAGCAACAATGTTCCCACAGCAATACAACAAAGTGTACGGATCGCACTCACTGTAGAGATTATAAAGTGCATCGGTAGCATAGCCTCTAAGAACCCATGCGACTATAACGGAGGCCAGGAACATCCCTCCATATAAGAACTTCGCGGCGACGCGCGAGGGACCGAAGGAGCAGCAGGAGCAGAGGCAGTGCCCAAGGCGGTACCGGCGAAAGCAGCAGCCGGTGCGGAATCCGATGCACATCGCGCCTCGCCCGCTAACTAATGCTCCTGATGCTGATCGCTGATCGCTGCTGATCGCTTGATGCTGATCGTCGATCGCTTATATCTGATCGACGGTCTTGATCGGCTCGCTTTGGAATATCGGCTCTCTTAGCTATGACGCTCTACCCAGCATAGAGAGCATTCAAAGAGTCGTCATTGAGTTGACTAATGCATTCTTGACGCTAATCATGGTGTTGACCGTTGTCAATGCGTTGGGTAAATCATAATTTTCGCGAATGCGCAGCGTTTGAAACGCAATATCGCTGTGTTCGAAGCTAATCAATGAACAAGTTAGTTTGCCTGACGACTACTGACAAGTTTGTGACGGAAGAATGCTCACGCTATTCAACCTATAAAGATCATAAGGCAGAAGGCCTTTATGGCATGAAAGACGCGCCGCGGGAATGATTCAGAGACCATGAAATTGGTGAAAGGGTCGCTTTGATCATGGCAGTGCCATATTCACATGCGGTTCTTCCTGTTTCTAAACTTCAAGTCAATCGAGTGTATGATGTTATGAATACTTGTATTACATTCGAAGTATGCTTAAAAAGGTCTGACTTCAGTCGCTTGGCCTTCGGTGTCGCGAAGGCATGTCTCCAGAAATTGCGAAATTGTACAAGCCGTTCAGCTTCTCCCAGCCATCAGCTGCTCTTGAAAGCATTTCGCCAACCAGGTATCTCTTCGTCAAGCAAATTTCGCAAACGTTGTCAGACTTCGCGAAACCCATCATTCACCCCCACTTCCCCCCATTCCCCGAACCTGATGAAATCCGACCTGCGCCTGCCTCATTTCGCCTGTCAGATGCAAACTCACGCAACCTCAAAGAATCCGTTTCCGCGTGCGCAAACGCTACGGGGAAGAAGAGGCAAGACAAGGCAACCTTGGGAATATTCTTTTGCGCGCGGCAGTCCCAATGCTTGCTCTGCTCCGCCATAAAGCTCGCCGCATCTGCGTTACTCATTCTCAGATCAAAACTTCAGCTCTCGCTGCTCTCCCTCTCCTCACCTCTCCTCGCCTCTCTAGTCGCGTCGGAGCGAGCGACCGATCCGTGCTCACTCCTCCGCCTCCGCGAGTTCTAATCGCCAGAACCATGGTGAACGAGGACAAATGGGAGCTGAAGCCGCATCCCGTGATTCCCCGCGGGAAGCCGCTCGTGCTTATGATCCTCGACGGATGGGGAGAGAATATCGAGGACGACTATAACGCGATCTACAAGGGCAACTGCCCGAACATCAAGGCGCTGCGCGAGAACCGCCCCAACCGCTGGCGCACGATCAAGGCGCACGGCAAGGCCGTGGGGCTGCCGAGCGACGGCGACATGGGGAACTCGGAAGTGGGGCACAACGCCATGGGCGCGGGGAAGGTCATCAACCAGGGGTGCGTGAGTGCTGGGACAGGGAGTTGGTGCTTGGTGCATTGTTGCCGTCCGAATCGCCAGATCCGTTGATTCTAACGGGAGATCTTATGTTACACTCTTGCATCCTGACCGCTTTGTTCGTTATCAGCTGATCCTTTTGTCTTTCGTGTGACTTCTTCGCCTTCCATTGAATCTTTCGTCGCTCATGGAATCTTGCGTCGCTCTTTGAACCTTTCTTTGCTCTTTGATATTTTCGTCGCTCTTTGAATCTTTCGTTGCCCTTTCAACTTTTCGTCGCTCATTGAACCGTTGGCCTTCATCGACTCTTCCTCCGTTCATAAATCTTTCGCCTTTCGCCTGCCTGCCTGCATGCGTCCGTGCAGAGCGGCGCTGGTGGACACTGCGCTCGAGACGGGCGATATGTACAAGAGCGAC